GGTGACCGAGATTTACCCTGGGAGGATACGTCCGTGGCGTCTCGAGTTTTGAGGAGGCGAGCTGTAGAACCGCTTAAGGCCTCTCAGTAAAGAAAACTGCACGTATTCCGCCTACTGTTGAGAAAGGACAGGCAGCATTTTGCGAAATCAGAAGTTGCCGTCTACCCTAGACTTGTCTGTGCTATTTACCATGCCAAAACACATCCATCTGGTTTTTATGCGATACGAAGACGTTATAAAGCATACGTTGTAACTCATTTCGCATGAAGCCGATAAATCTGCTCTTCAGTTAGTGAAAATAATGTAGAAGGAATTGTAAAAAATATATTTTTGCAAAAAAGAGAAGCAAATTAAATTGTAAAACATATATTTTTTTTCAGTGTTTAATTGTGTTGACGCAAATGCCAGTAGAAGACATGGTGGAGCGAATTTTATTTTTAGTTTGCTAACGCTTGAACCATAAACTAAGGGTATTCGAGCCAACAAGAAGCTGGGTTCGCATTCACGCGTTCGACAGCATAACATTTGCAGAATGCTTTTTCCCCAAATATGTAATTTGAAACGGAATGGACGACATCCATTCCCAAAGATAGTCGCATATATATTCAGTTCCTGTTTGGTAAATGTAGCTAAGAAAAACCATCATAGTAGAAGAGGAAAGTGAGTGACACTATCCCTGACTTAAAACCCGCAACACAATGAGCAAGAGGCTCAATAGTTAGGGCGTTTGTCTCTGATCAACGAGTTCGCGCGTCCAAGGATCGGTAGAACTCCACTTGTGACCGGATATGAGCCAGAAAGGACCACTCCAGTCACCCCTCGTTATCTCCGACAATAATAGCTGCCTATATTACAAACTCCTCCGGTAGTCAATCTGTTAGCGGTCGGATAAACGTTCCTCAACGAGAAGGAGGAAAGTTCACAGTAAGATGCATTTTAGAGGTCTGACATTTCGGGTCACTGTGTGCCCTCCCCCCATACCCTGTGGTTGATCCAGAAGCTGATATTTCTCGCAGTCTGCTCACGAAGGAGAGTTTACTGGGCAGGATAAATTCTCAAGAAAATAATGGAGAGAATTAAAACACACGAAAGGATGGCTTCTATGTGATGCCCCTTCACATCTGACGGGCCTTGCTTTTAAAAAACAGTTCAAGGCCCTTAAACGTCAGAATTCTACTGAAGAGAATTCACAGACAACAAAATCAAAAACGCAATCTTTCCAAGGCAGATTTATATTTACGGAATTTTTATCTTTTTGATATTATATTAAACATGTAAAACGGAAGCGAATAATATACTGGGATATGCACAGTACATTCGAGGAAGGTGAAGCTGTAAATGGTATCTTTTTGCATGCATTTAGCAAAAATGCGTTAACTTTTAGAGATACACAAAATATTGTTTTATGAGCACGTTTACAGCGCATTTTCTTTTGATTTCATCATTTGAATCTCTAAAAAAGAATCATATATCTAATCAAGCGATTAGTAATTCTAATACTTTCTTTCAGATTTAAGTCCGAATAAGGTCACTCATTATTATTTTTGCGTTGTTTTTTCATGCGTAAGTAATGGTTTGCGACTCATTATAAATGTTGCTTTAAATTCGCCACTATGCATCACATAGGTTGTATGCAGTATCAACCATTTGCCTGTACCAACTAATTGTTTTTGCACAATAAATCCTTTTAGTCCACAAAATATCCATTATAACGCTTTGGAGTTGTTGAACACTGACATCAGACCTACAGTATCAAAGAGTGCTGGAGTTGTTTTGCTTTGCTTTTAGGTTGCAATGACTTCAATCCGCGTATTTTCTATAAACACAAGAAAGAAATATCCATTGTCGATATGTCCGCGCGTTTTAAAAACAGTGTGCGCATATGAACATGTGTGCCTCCAGGTAAAGAGGGGAGCGTCATCCAATTACCGTCCAACGTGCTCACGAGACAATATAAATGGACAGTCTAGGTGCCATTGTGTCATTGTGTCCGCAACATGGCAATCACCGTGGGCGTTTTCTTTCATGGTGTCCTCCTCCTGCTGTTCGTTGTTGGGTCTCACGCCGGTAAGTGTCCCGTTGCCTTTGAAGAACATTTTCTTTCAGTAGGACCGGTCGTTAAATTCTCGAATTTTCAGTTTTTTCATTCTGTCATACTTATACATCCTGCAATTGGGAATACACCGAAACCCAACCAACTCACATGATATTTCGATTGAAAATGTTCGATGCAGTTTCCATGTCTCCACACATGGCCACCGTGACATTATAACCATTATCGCAAAACCTTTAACGCATGCAGATAAAAAATCATACAGATGCCTATACCGTTTAGTTTATGAAATAGGTTAAGGTATTCAAACACAATTCCTCAATGTAGTAAAAACACTCATTTAGGTTCAAACTGTTGGTTTACAAAGGCAGACTCCCTTATTCTAATCTTCACTCAGGGCATGTTGCCCACACGTAAAAATTGAAATGGCTCTTTTTCAAAATGACCAGTTATTTTTAATGAAAAGGTTAATATGTTATAACAGACACATCGAAGTTCAAGAGAAACGTTCTTCAGAATATTTTTTTACTCACTGGCAAGAAACGGTAATGCAATTGTAACAGGTTTGATATCGCTTGTTCGCAAACATATTCCATAGTTCCAATAATCTTTCCCCGGACACTGAATAAAGCATAATGACGGTGAATTTATTATAACATATAATACACGAAATTATTGGATTATAGTAAATTATACAACATTAAGGCCAAATATTTGGGCACAAAACATGATTTGTCTGCAATTTTTCGGCGTCCAATAATGCTTTTCGGCAAAAGTAACCTATGTACGTCCACTCATTAATCTCTACTCCCTGCATGTTTTCCTACGATAATGGTGGTTATAGTGTTCGATGGGTGAAACAAATAGGACACACAGTTGAATATACTTTAATAAATTCTAAATGCATTTTCTACTCTACTGTAGTCAGAAGTTTTGTTTATTTATATCTGTAGATTTTTCTAATCTGTATTATCGTTAAACTTATTGCGGAAAAGCCGGTAATCAAATTGCAGGTTTCTTGAATTTCCCAAAAAAATTGAAATCGTGGTTAGGAGGTCGTCTACTTTAACTTTCCTGAGGTCCAACTTACAGTTATCGAGTTAGATTAGTACAGTCCGTGGCGCGAAGCACCGCGCACACCTTCAATTTACATGCGAAACAACCTACTCCCAGCGGCCGCGGGAAGCAACTTCCACTATTTTTTTTCCCTTTACACTTAATTCTAAAAGTTTCTTTATCTGCCTATACTATTTCTCCACCCGCCAAAACTCTATAACCACAATTTTTAGGAGAAAATGCTGGGACTAAGGGGCATATGATTAGGCCTAAACAAGCTTTTTTGCCTGCTTTTCCTGTGGAGAGTAGGGCGCCTCCGCTGAGTTGGAATAATGGATTATTTATTGTGCAGTTTGCCTTAAAAAATATGAGAATAAACCCTATAGCGGTGCACTAGTGTTCAGTTGCAATTTTCCAATAGTTGAGTATTTGATGCTGACGGCATACACTGTACCAGCGACTATCGTGTGGTTTATTCTGAAATCATTTTAATCATGACGCTGTTTTGGCGGATACGAAAATATATGCCTTCAATAGTAAACATATTCACTCCTTATATGGTTGTTCTACGCAATGCTGTAATAACCTACTTTTTTATTTACGCTGGAGCACTAAGGTTGCCATCAAGAGGACTTCGAGACCTAAAGTAAACACGTTTTATTTATAACTACATAGTCGTGATGAGTTAAAATATGGTTTTCCAAGGTGGTGTACAATTTTGCAACACCTAAGTTTCATCTTACTTGAATAGATTGAAGTCCATCTTGCTGATTCGTCGGAAAAACAACTCAACTATTATTGAGGCTAATGTTCGCATCCCAGGAACGTGAATATTTTGAGAAGGGAAATTTTCGAACACTGGAACAATCATTTTATTAGCCTGAGCGAGTCGACGGCGAAACCCCA